AGGGTGGCTAAGAAATGCACGTACTATTTCCAGATTTGAGCCACTAGTGTGACCCAATTTCGGATCTTCATGGATGTTGGAATGGTTCCACCAGACGTGCCAATTTATGTTGGTAAAAATTTGGTTTAAACCTAATCGACAGATTTAAATTAGTTTTAAATAAATACAAAAAGATCAGACTTTGTGGTTGAGTTTTTTGTCTTAAACAGATTAAAGACTTTCTTGGAGGTTTATCAAGTAAATAAGAGATAGAACAGAACATAATTTGTATTTATTCAACTAGATTGTCACTTGCTACTAGTTACAAGAACAAATAATTGCAAAATACAACAATCGATTGAAGAAAATAAATGGGGGTTAGAAAAACTATCACTATTATACTCTGTTTGCACCATAAATAAAATTTCTATGGATTATAACTAGGTTTAAACATTCTATTACTTATTATTATTATTATTGTTATTATTATTATGATTATGCAAGAAAATCTTGAAAGTTAAGAGAAATTAAGTCAAGTTTTGAAGATTCAAGGGATGGAGGACAAGTGGCAACGTAATAAGGTGAAAGTTATATGGGTAGTTAGATGATGGTTAATAGATGTTTTTTCCTACATTTTTTTTTGGTATAATATTGCCATTGATGGCTCTATTGTAAAGTGGATAAACAAATCAATTCACAACTTGAGAAGTCTAGAAGTAATCTAGTTTGTTTAGGAATAGCAGTGCTTGTAACTAGGAGTAGCAGTAGTAGTAGCAGTTAGTGTTTGTTCAAATTTATGTCGATTGTAATACTTAAAGACTTGAAATTTGATCCTTGTGGTTAAAGTCACAAGTTTTATTATTTTCAGTCAATTTTCAGTTATATTTACTTTGTTTCTTCGAGAAGTAAACCTCTAAAGAAGTCCTTGAACATGTCAAAGCATTAAGACACTCAACTACATTGTTTGATTCTGTTGTTTGGGAAAATTGGTTTGTTTGTTGTTTGTCAATATCACACCCAAATTAGATTTTTGTTAACATATTTTGACACGCTCAGTGGGACATCGTCCTAACCAGGAGAGAAAAAATAATGATACAAACAAAATATCAAGAAATTATGCCATCAAGTGGCATGTTTGCATCTTGTGCACCAATGGATGCAAACTACCAATGGAATGGCCATGTTCTAATGGGTATGAATTATTAGTGGAATGCCTCATCTTCTATGTATAATGATTGTCAATATTATGACAATGATTCTACCGTCTATTGCCAACATAATGGCATGGAAAGAATAATTCGGCGTTGTGAGAATGAAATTTATTGGAGCAAGAGTGAAATTTTGGCTCTACAAAAAGAAATTAATTCTCTTGATTGGCAAAAATTTCAAATAATTTCATCACCTCCATATTATTTGATGCAAAAAGATATAAATTACTTTAATGAAAAAAATCGTCAACTTAGTTGTCAATTTTATCAAGTTCATGGAGAAATTTAACATTGGAGTAAAAAATTAGAGAATCTTAAAAAGTATAAATTTTATGTGTTTCTAAGAGGCTTTTTCAAGAAAAGCTTTTTCTTCACAAAAATCATGGCCAAAGAAAAATTAAGTTATGAAAATGGCATGCCCGAGGGGCATTTTTTAAGCCATTAATTGAAAAATAAGACCAACTTCTTTTTGCCAAAAGCTATTGAGCATTTTAATCCAATTGAAGGATATGATTTTAAGTCAAATATGACAAAGAATCTTGAACAACCATTACAAAATGATGGTGAACATTCAATTGAAGAGTATGATTTTAAGTGAAACATGGCTAAATTTGATGAACAACCATCACAAAATGATGATGAAAATCTAATTGAAGGGCATGTTTTAAGTTTTTGAAATATGGCTAAATTTGATGAAAAAACATCATAACATGATTGTGAAAATCTAATTAGGGGGTATGATTTTAAGCCAAACATGGCTAAAAATTATGAACAACTCACATTTGATGAATTTGAATTTTTCGACATTGTTAATTTTGTCAAAAAATTTAATTTTCTAAAGTCAGTTGGCATTATGATTTCTGTCATCCAACAACTACAATGGCTTTGTGGTTCACATCAAAAAATAATTTTGATAAAGCAATTTACAAAAAGAAATTCTGAATTTTATTTCTATTTTTTTATATAACAGTAATGGAGGAGTATTTCGATGTAGCCACAACAAATAAAAAACTATATATATATGGCCAATCAATTATAATTTTCAAAATTTCTATTATATATTTATGTTCATACAACTCTTCAAGAATTTGAATACTCATTCTTAAAGAGTTGGGGAGCATTGTTCGCACCACAAATAAAATTTCTATCGATTACAACTAGGTTTAAACTTTCTATTATTTATTATTATTATTGTTATTATGATTATGATTATGTAGGAAAATCTTGAAAGTTAAGAGAAATTAAGTCAAGTTTTGAAGATTCAAGGGATGGAGGACAAGTGACAATGTAAGAAGGTAGAAGTTATATGGGTGGTTAAATGATGGTTAATATAGATGATGGTTAATAGATGTTTTTTCTTTTTTTTTTTTTTTGTATAATATTGCCATTGATGGCTCTATTGTAAAGTGGATGAACAAGTCAATTCACAACTTGAGAAGTCTAGGAGTAATCTAGCCCGTTTAGGAGTAGCAGTACCTGTAACTAGGAGTAGCAGATAGTGTTTATTCAAATTTCTATCGATTGTAATACTAAAAGACTTGGAATTTGATCCTCATGGTTAAAGTGACAAGTTTTATTAATTTCAGTCAATTTCCAGTTATATTTACTTTGTTTCTTTGAGAAGTAAACCTTCAAAGAAGTTCTTAAACCTGTCAAGGCATTAAGACACTCAACCACATTGCTTAATCCTGTTGTTTGTGAAAATTGATTGTTTGTTGTTTGTCAATATCACACCCAAACCAGATTTTTGCTAACATACCCCTAAAAGTGCTAACTTAACTACTCCCAAACAGATAATCACAATTTGTGAGTTTTGTGGATTGTTTGATTGATCTTCTTTTCTTTCTTTTTTTTCTTCATTCCTCAAGTCTTCCTTTTATAATTGATTGGCCATCTAATGTTGTAACCGTCAATTCATAATCTTCTTTAATATTTGTTCCACTCAACTATATCCCATCTTCATAGAAACTATTTGCAGATTTTGTGTTTTGACTTGGTACTGATCCCTTGATTTTAGCATGTGGTTTCTAATTGATTTTAACAAATATCTTTACTGACTTTTATTTAATATTTTCAAGTCACATCATCATCTCTTTCATACCACATTACTAGCATATTTGTCACGTATGTTCGTATATTTGTTGATGGGAATAATAATAATAATAATAAATGTGACCTAAGTTTTTTTGGGTGAATAATGTGACCTAAGTTATTCTTAAAAAATAGTCTATAGTCTTTATCGACAGTTCATAATCGAATTTGGTCATAATCGACAAAAAAATAAAATATGGTATCAACACCATTATGGGTTCATTCGGGAAGTGGGTTGGCTTTTTGGCTATTTTAGTCTAGGGCTAAAAATCCTCGTTGGAAATGGATTTTTTTACTTTTTTGACTTTTATAAGAGAAAAAATATAATAATTATGGGTTAGATATAATGTTTTGTCTTATTGGACTAAAAAGCCTATTTTATTTGTTTTGACTATTTTAGCCAAAAAAATCCCAAACCTATCTTCCCAAACGAGCACTATATCAAATATCCTCTTAATTAGTATTATAAATTTCAATTTCAATAATACTTCATCCGTCTCAAAATATTAGTCTCTTATTTTATTTTTTATTGTCACAAAATATTAGTTCATTTTCAAAAATTAAAGACTAAAAATAATATGAATTTTCTATTTTGTCATTCTTTTAAATTTATTAACAATATAAAAAATACAATTATAATAATTGATATTTTTATAAAAAAAATTACTATCAAAAGGTAATTTTAAAAAATTAATATTTTTAAAATATAATAATTGTATTATAAAAAAAATAAATTTCTTAAATAGGACTATTGTTTTAGGACCAAGAATGTAATGAATTTGAAATGATTGGGTAAACGTCATTACTTTGTTGTACAAATGGGAGCGAATTGTCAAACCATTATTGCCACATGGTTGTGCGGCAAATTGATCGACTACTCAATAACTAACATAGGCAGGTCAATTAGAGAGAGTGAGCAAAAGGGCACAATGTGTGGTCTCTGATAAAGACATCAAATCAGTCAGAGGCTGATGAGTTTGCATGAAAGCGAGGCAATTAAAACTGTTTGGTGTCCAACTTATAAGAGATTGCCCCTCCTAAAAATTCTCCAAAAGACCCCACGCCATACCACACCATACATTTTATGCCTTTTAACTTTTTCTGTTTATCCAAAATTCCTCTGAACCTTCCTCCTTGGTACCTTCATTTCACTGCTCACTAACTACTGCAACTCAGCTCTCTCCCTCAAAACCCAATTTCATCAAAACTCAAATGCCTTATCAAATTCAGCGTTCTTTTCTTGTTAAAATGATGAATAATAAACTGAGTTATGTACCCAATTTAAGTTGTTTCAAAATTTTACTTCTCAAATGCAGGTTTTTCTTAGCTTATTTTCCAAATCTAATGTCTTAAATTGTCTTTTAACTTAAGAACATTGGCTTTACAAATTTATAAAACAAGCTAATTAAAATCAGGCAATGATTGGTGGTTACAAATTCTATGGGTCAAATGGTCCAAAAATATCAGAATGACGTCGTTTTGGGTACAAAACAATTCTGAAAATGCCAAAACGATGTCGTTTTGACATTTTCGGACCACTTGAGCCACAGAATTTGTGGCCACCAAACATTTTCCTTAAAATCATGTATTGAAACCAAGCTAATTGAAATCATTGATAAAAACAAAATGAAACAGTATGATAGGTCTATTTGAAGGGAAAGACTCAATTATTGTAGCAAATAAATGAGTGTGTTTTGTTGAAAGTGTGGGAATAAAATGAAATTCTCAAGCAACAACCCATATGAATATCAAGTATTAGATTGGAACAAACAAGCCTCAACTTCAACAACTACTGCACAATCACAATGTACATGCAACTCACACACAATACCCAACAAACAAGCAAAAGAAAATGAAATTCCAAATGAAACAACATCCCTAGAAAAAGAGATATCAAAGCAGTACCACGGAATTAAGGTACAAAGTACAACTCAATTTGCTTGCACACCAACTTGTGCCTGTTGTGGCTTGACCTTAGGAGGCCTTCCTCTAGGCCTCCCACTCTTCTCCCCGGCCCCCGAACCTCCATCGCTAGACCCACCACTCTTTGGCGGCCGCCCGCGAGGCCTCCCGCTCCCCACTGAAGAAGAAGAAGAAGAAGAAACCTTCTTCGGCGGTGGTGGGGGAGCATTCGGGTCCTTTGGCGGCCGCCCTCTTGGCCTGGATGGGGAAGGAAGCGCCCCGGGAGGCATCGGACTCTTGGGTTTCGGGGGCCTTCCGCGGCCCCTTCTCGGGGGCGCATTTGGGTCGAACCTCATGTAGTTGTTCTTGGCAAATACCAGCTGTCCAGTCTCTTTCATTCGGTTCAGGTGGTGCGAAAGCAAGGTCGTGTGCCCCGCTGGCAAGTCACCGTACGTGGATTCGATGTATTTCGATATCGCAGACTTGTTTGAGCCGTCCTTCTCCTTCAAAGCGTCAAGGGCTGCCAAAATCATCTGCAAGGTTTACAGATTCAGCTCTGCATTTTTAACTCGGAATACTGAAATTTTTTGAAATGCCTGAGATTGTACAGTCAAATTTATAACAATTCGAACCCAAAAGAGGGATGCGAGATGAGGGTTAGATGATCGTGTTTTTGGGTAATGTAATTCTTTAATTAAAACACTAGGAACGAACTTAAAAGTAGAAAAAAATAGTAGATTACAACGAAATTTAGATAAAACTTAGGTTCAATTTTGATTTCTTAAAATAGAAAATAAGGGTTACAAAAAATCTAAAGCTATTTTTGACAAATGTTTGACAATCCTGAAGTTAGGTTTTACAAACCAAAAATTCATCAGAAATGTTAAAGAAATAAAAAAAAAAATAAAGTCAGAAAATATTGAAGAGTTTAGATCAATTTGAGATGAGAGTGTTGATGTGGAAAAGGAATGGGAAAGGAAAGGGAAATCTGGGTGTTGAGAGAAGAGTTGGGTGTTTTTACCTCAGGGTAAGGAGGGAGTGAAGGAGGTTTGCTGACCTCTTCGGACGCCATTGAAAGTTGCAGGGAGAGAGAGAGAGAGAGAGAGAGAGAGAAAAGCTTTCAAGTCGCCACAAATAAAGCAGCGTCAGCTTCGAAAGCACAGTGATGACGGTAAAGAAAACGAGAGAGAGAGGGCGAGCCAAAGGGATTTCTTTCACCTGAGGGGAAATCTGACGGCTGAAGATTTGTTGATTGGACAATTATCGTATGGTTGTTGTCGGCTAATGAAGGGTCACACAGATTGATGACCTGGTACTATTTTTAATTTTTTTTTTTTTCGGGTTAAATTTTAAGTGAAAATTTTAGTGCAGTGGAGAAAAAAAAATACAACAGCAGCGTTTGGTAGAGTTTTTTAAATATGATTTGAGAATAGAGTTGTATTTTAAGTTTGTGAGTTTTGAAATTATGATTTGAATATGAAAAATATATTTGGTTATGAGTTTTGAATTGAATTTGAAATAAATGATGTGACATATGATATTTAATTAAAAAACTTACCACTCATAACCAAGTACATAACCCAAAATTCTATTCAAAGTTCATAAAAAAATTAAAAAAAATTATAGAAATATTTTTTATTTAAAATATAAAAATAACAGGTGCAAAAAAAAAACACTGTTCTGGTCGATCGGCCGGACGTTCCGGAGGACAACCAAGTTAGCCAAATTTTTCCACCTGAAAAGGAGTTTTCAAAAGTGTGTGCGGAATTATAATTTGAAAACTCAAAACAAATACTACACTGAAATCAATAGGTGAAAATGTGTTCGGAGAGTTTCTCCGAATATAACATTTTTATGATAGTGTAACATTCCTGTGTGTATGGTGTAAATTTATTTCTATATTTGATGCAACTTGTTCTATGTGTTAGAGTTGCACCAATTTATTTATTTATTTTATTTTTTCATTTGTAGTGCAATTTTTTTACTACTACTCTATATTTGCAATTTCTCCAAATTTTAATAAAATATTAATAAATTAGTAAATTTAGATTATTCAGAGGGTGTTTGGCAACTGCTGCAAACACATCTTTTTTTGATTTTTTTTTTTATCTTTAATAAAAAAAATTCTTCAAAATTATGTCAATTTTTTTTTTTAACCTTTTCAATCCCCTTGTATAGGCAGATCTAAAAAAAGTAATTTTAAAATTTTTTTGGATTATTTGTCTTTTCTGGATTTTTTTTGAAACTTTTTTAATTTTTCAATTCTTCTCATTGAGTTGAATTTAGAAACCTAATTTTTTTTTTTTTTTAAAAAAAAAAAAATCATTAAAGATGAAAATAAGCATACCAAAAAAAAAAAAATTACACTAAATAAGTAAAAGGGCATTTATTACTAATACACAAAGTTCAAAATTTATCTAGTCCCAAAACAAAATACTTGTACTAATTAGTCTTACATATTTTTAATTGTTATCAAAAAATTCATTCTTTTTTATTTTTTTTTATAACTTTGCAAATGATACTACATCCCACCACCGCCGGACTTCAGTCAAATGGTTAACGGAGACTCGCCGGAATATTCAACATCACCAAAAAGTCATTGGCGTATTGCCATAAATTTACCGGAGTATCGCTAGAGTGTTCTGAACATCACTAAAAGTCGTCAAAATGTCCAGAATGTTCATTGAACGTCAAAAACATCATCGGAGACTCAGCGGAATGTCCAAAATATTGCCAAAAATGGAGAAATGGAGAAATTATAGTAAAAAAAATAACAAAATATGCTAAATATTGATAAACTGAAAGAAAAAAATAAATAAATAACAACAAACAACAATGAAAAAAGTATATATGTGGCGCTGTTGGGGAAGTAAGTTTTTTGTTTTTTTTTTTTTCACTAAAAGACAAATTGGTTACAAAACCAAAAAAAAAAAAATCCAAACAAAATATCACATCAAACCCCATAATGGCCCCGTTTGGTAGAGCTGTGGGAAAGTGATTATAACTTATATCTTAACAGCTTATAGTTTATAACTGTGAACATAAACTGATTTTTGACTTATAAATTAAGTTTCTCATCTCCCACTCAAAGAATAAGTTAATTTTTGACTTATAAAAAGCTATAAGGTGTATTGTTAAGCTGAATCAAACATATCAAAATAGCTTAAATTAACCTAAAAGCTGAAATAAGCTGGAAATAAGCCCTACCAAACAGGGCCAATCATTTTACTTTTTCTCTCACAAACATCACATCTAACCACAAAAAAACTCAACTATCTTCCCAAACACAAAAAAAAATTTCTCCAATAATATCCTACAACTAAAAAAACTTTTAAAAAAAACCCACTTCCCAAACACCCACATTATTTTTTAATTTTTGTAGGATTTAAACAAATAATTTCTAATATTGACCAAATTGAAAATTAAGTTTTGAAACTATAAAATGTTACAGTTTCAAAATATGATTTTATTAAGCATTTATCATTATTAATCAAACTGGAAAACATGTTATGAAATTATAAAATTTTACAGTTCTAAAGAATGTTATGATACTACAAACTTTTATAGTTTTAAGGCATGATTCATTTCAACACTAAAAAAATTAAAATTGTAAAATTTTATAGCTTGCACCGCCTGTAACTAAAACTTGAAAACATTTGTTCAGAACTTGAAAATTTTCTCTAGTAAAATAGAAAAATAGAAGTGTATAGCAGAGAGAATGTAGAAAAATTAAGAAATCGAATGAGAGAAACAAATATAGAGAGAATATTTTACTTCGACAACTATTTTTGGTTTAGATCTAGTCGGATCTCATGTAGATTTACTTAGATCTGATGTAGATTTGAGTAGATCTACGTTATCTTCTTTGTCGGAAGCTCGTCTCTTTCGCCGTCGGTGAGAGTGAAGTGAGGAGTCGATGGTCAGTGGTTGTCAGTGAACCCCAAGCAATGATGGTCGTCGGTCACCAATGATTATATATTAGAAAGAGAAAGAGAAAGAGAAGAAGTAAGGCATGGTCGTCGATCACCGGAAACCATGAAGAGAAAAAGGTAGAGAAAAACAAATGCACAGAGAAGAATGAAGAAGAAAAATACGTAGTGGATTTTTAAGAGTATTAAAAAAGTTGTGGGACTAAATAGACTTATTGTTTTTTAAATAGGACTTTTAAGTAATTTCCCGATAAGTAAATCCCAAATACCCACTCAAGCAAGCAAACACTATTCTATTGACTCTAAGCTAAGATTTACGGTCTCGTTATTTGGCGTATTAGATTGGATAAAATTATGAGTACCATGAAATTAAGTGATGGAGTTGTTAGTGTGATAGTATTATATTGGAAATGCAAAATAAAATGCGTTTATTTGTAAATTAACATGATATTAATTGATTGTGATTAAATCCGTAAATTTACGTAAAAGTCACTAATATATAAAAAATAGCTTTGTTATTTTAGAAAATGAGGATAAACTGGTAAATTTACCTCCAATTTTATAAGATTTTGGATTGTGAATCTCAACCCCAAGGTATTGTTAGTCTACACGATGGGATTAGTAGTCCACCTAACAATCTTGTTGCCAATTAAGCAACCAAACATGCTATAGGTTGGACTTATCTTACTAATAATCCAATTTCCCACACTTAACCAACATTTTAAAATGAGAGTGTTCGATGCAGTTGTTAAAACATATTATAAATTATAACAGATTGTGTGTGTCAATTTCTGACCACACTGCCAATCAAGCACTCAACTGGAGAACACTGGCAGAATAGATTAAGTCCGAACGACCTATCACAAAAAGAAGAGATTCCGACGATGATTCGTCCACCCGGGGGCACTCCGACGATCAAGTCAGTTATCTCTCAAAGATAGCAAAAGTGCTTAACTCACTATTCAGAGCATAAAAATCATACCTTAGACCCATGAGGGTGCCTCTCTTTTATAGCCAATACAAACCTAGTCTTAATAGAAGCCTAACTTCAATGGACATAGGATTACTGCTAATCTTGGACTCCCAGTAGGATTGAGATAAACTCTCTAAGAGTTTTATCTTTACCCAAACTGAAGTCCTCTCTCATTCTAGGACTCGTGTCCCTTATCCGCTTATCCCAGATTCCGATATCTTCGTAGATAACCTCGGCCTAGCTGAGATGATCTCGGCGTCATGACCAGGACACGTGGCACCTCGGCTGGCACTTCAGTGACACCTCAGCCGCGTGTTGTCATTCAAAAATTATGTCCCCAGAACTGCCCCCTAGGTTCTATTACCTCGGCATCCTGAGGTGATGGAACCTATATCATTCATTTCTTTAATCATGACCCCGGTTTAATTTCAGCTTGTAAATTTTTCTTAAAATTTCAACAAGTGTTAAACATGACCTCGGTTTAACTTCAACTTGTAAATTTTTAAAATTTCAACAAGTGTTAAACCAACCTTAACTTGTAAATTCCAACTCCCAAGCATCATTCTCCAGCCCTCTTTGATTCTCCATGCCCGACCTGCCGTGAAGGCCGGTGAGAATGCCTCTTTGCCCTGTCGTGCTGAGGCACTGCAGGAACTATGTTCTGTCCCCTTTTCTGGGCATCTTTCTTGGCCGCTGGAATCGGCGTATCTTGGAAAGGCAACGGTGACTGCATGACGTTGTTCTGCATCATGAAATTGACGACCATTTGCAGGTCCGCCAATTTGTTCTCCATTCCCTTTATCTCGTTGTCCCTCCGCAGGCATCTATCCTTTCATACCTGGTGGTCATCCTCGTTATAATACCCGCTTCGGTTTGATTTCTTTGGCACGTCGCCCTCCTGGCCGACGTCATTTTCTCCGTAATTCTTTATCATGAGTCTCTTCGTTGCAGTTGTCTTCTTCGACGTCAAGGTCAATATGTTTCCCACTCTCAATAGGGGTGTCGTCCACAACCTTCTCTTTCTGTCCGTCGTTGGCCATCTATTCTCTTTTTTTTCCCATAGACGGCGCCAAATTGTGTGTGTCAATTTCTGACCACACTGTCAATCAAGCACTCAGCTGGAGAACACTGGCAGAATAGATTAAGTCCGAACGACCTATCACAAAAAGAAAAAATTTCGACAGTCGTTCGTCCACTAGGGGGCACTCCGACGATCAAGTCAGTTATCTCTCAAAGATAGCAAAAGTGCTTAACTCACTATTCAGAGCATAAAAAACATACCTTAAACCCATGATGGTGCCTCT